AGCGCCCCTCGCGCAGGAATTCCAAGGATGTCTCGCGCGTGCCGCGTCCCGCGCGCGGGTATTTGGATGTCTTGGGATTTTGTCAGGATGTCTCGAGCGAAACGCTTGTTTTTCATAATTTGTTGAGGATGTCTCGAGCAAAACGCTGGTTTTGCAAAATTGGAGGATGTCTCGAGCGGTTGCCTCGTGGGGGGCCAGAATTCAAAGGATGTCTCAGGCGAAATGCTTGTTTTCACGTCCCGCTCGCAGGAATTCCGAGGATGTCTCGCGCGTGCAGCGTCCCGCGAGTAGGAATTCAGATGATTTTGACAGGATGTCTCGAGCGAAACGCTTGTCCCCAGCACGTTCCGTAGCGCGTCCCCTTGGCAGGTCCCGCGATGCGTCCCCATGGCACGTCCCTTGGCACGTCGCTTGGCGCGTCCCTTGAGACGTTCTGCGTCGCGTCCTTCTGGCATGTTCCCCTGTCCATTAGCTCTGGGGCAGCTACTATGTGTTCAGGCAGCTCGAGCTTAAGATCCAGATCAGTTCGGTCAGGACTCGGATGCAAAGGAGGACTCGATCCCCGAGGCTATAGAGCACAATCGCGCCATGGCACATCGCAATTCAGCACGGCGCAGCACAGCACTGATTTCGGCACGGTACATCAAGGTCGATGCACTCAGCATTGCAATTTGGCACGTTCCTTGGCACGTTCCGTGGGGCGTCCTTTGGCGAATCCCCCTGGCACGTCGCGTCGCGCGTCCCCTGGCACATCCCGTGGCACACCCATTGGCACGTTCCGTAGCGCGTCCCCTTGGCACGTCCCGCGGTGCGACCCCATGGCACGTCCCCTGGCACGTCGCCTGGCGCATCCCTTGGGACGTTTCGCTGCGCGTCCTCCTGGCATGTTCCCCTGTCCATTAGCTCTGGGGCAGCTACTATGTGTTCAGGCAGCTCGAGCTTAAGATCCAGATCAGTTCGGTCAGGACTCGGATGCAAAGGAGGACTCGATCCACGAGGCTATAGAGCACAGTCGCGCCATGGCACATCGCAATTCAGCACGGCGCAGCACAGCACAGCCCTCGGCAGGGTACATCAAGATCGATACCTTCAGTATTGCATGTGCCCGTCACCCAATCAGGTGTCTTTGAAAACGCTGCCATGTGTTACAGTTCTACATTCCTTTCCGGGTTCGTGGGTCGATCATGTTTTTCAGAATTGGTTGAGGATGTCTCGAGCGAAACGCTGGTTTTGCAGAGTTGGGGATGTCTCGAGCGAAACGCTTGTTTTCAGAATTTGTTGAGGATGTCTCGAGCGAAACGCTGGTTTTGCAGAGCTGACCGCGACGCGGAAAAGCGCCCCGTTCGCAGGAATTCCGAGGATGTCTCGCGCGTGCCGCGTCCCGCGCGCAGGGATTTCGAGGATGTCTCGACTAATTTGCTTGTTTTGCAAGGATTTCTTTGGATTTTGACAGAATGTCTCTAGCGAAACGCTTGTTGTTTCAACATTTGTTGAGGATGTCTCGAGCGAAACGCTGGTTTTGCAAAATTGGGGGATGTCTCGAGCGGGGGCCTCGTGGGGGTCCTCGTGGGGGGTCCAGAATTCAGAGGACGTCTCAGGCGAAATGCTTGTTTTCACGTCCCGCTCGCAAGAATTTTGAGGATGTCTCGCGCGTGCCGCGTCCCGCGCGCAGGAATTCTGAGGATGTTGGCAGGATGTCTCGAGCGAAACGCTTGTCCCCAGCACGTTCCGTAGCGCGTCCCCTTGGCACGTTCCGCGGTGCGTCCCCATGGCAAGTCCCTTGGCACGTCGCTTGGCGGGTCCCTTGAGACGTTCCGCGTCGCGTCCTCCTGGCATGTCCCCTTGTCAATTAGCTCTGGGGCAGCTACTATGTGTTCAGGCAGCTCGAGCTTAAGATCCAGATCAGTTCGGTCAGGACTCGGATGCAAAGGAGGACTCGATCCACGACGCTATAGAGCACAATCGAGGCATAACACATCGCAATTCAGCACGGCGCAGACAGCACAGATTTCGGCACGGTACATCAAGATCGATACACTCAGCATTGCAACTTGGCACGTCCCTTGGCACGTTCCGTGGGGCGTCCCTTGGCGAGTCCACCTGGAACGTCGCGCGGCGCGTCCCCTGGCACATCCCGTGGCACATCCATTGGCACGTTCCGTAGCGCGTCCCCTACAGGGCTCGAGCCCAGGGTTCTCTTTTAGAGGTTTACACCCGGAATCGACGGCTGAAGGGCCGGCGAAATTATTTTGCGATAAATTACGTGCGGGAGTAGGGCCGGCGGAATTATTTTTGAGGATGTCCCTAGCGAAACGCTTGTTTTTCAGAATTGGTTGAGGATGTCTCGAGCGAAACGCTGGTTTTGCAGAGTTGGGGATGTCTCGAGCGACACGCTTGTTTTCAGAATTTGTTGAGGATGTCTCGAGCGAAACGCTGGTTTTGCAGAGCTGACCGCGACGCGGAAAAGCGCCCCGTGCGCAGGAATTCCGAGGATGTCTCGCGCGTGCCGCGTCCCGCGCGCAGGGATTTCGAGGATGTCTCGACTAATTCGCTTGTTTTGCGAGGATTTCTTGGGATTTTGATAGAATGTCTCTAGCGAAACGCGTGTCGTTTCAACATTTGTTGAGGATGTCTCGAGCGAAACGCTGGGTTTGCAAACTTTGGGGATGTCTCGAGCGGGGGCCTCGTGGGGGGCCTCGTGGGGGTCCAGAATTCAGAGGACGTCTCCGGCGAAATGCTTGTTTTCACGTCCCGCTCGCAGGAATTCCGAGGATGTCTCGCGCGCGCCGCGTCCCGCGCGCAGGAATTCTGATGATTTTGGCAGGATGTCTCGAGCGAAACGCTAGTCCCCAGCACGTTCCGTAGCGCGTCCCCTCGGCGCGTCCCGCGGTGCGTCCCCATGGCACGTCCCTTGGCACGTCGCTTGGCGGGTCCCTTGAGACGTTCCGCGTCGCGTCCTCCTTGCATGTCCCCCTGTCAATTGGCTCTGGGGCAGCTACTATGTGCTGAGGCAGCTCGAGCTTAAGATCCAGATCAGTTCGGTGAGGACTCGGATGCAAAGGAGGACTCGCTCCACGAGGCTATAGAGCACAATCGAGGCATAACACATCGCAATTCAGCACGGCGCAGCACAGCACAGATTTCGGCACGGTACATCAAGATCGATACACTCAGCATTGCCACTTGGCACGTCCCTTGGCACGTTCCGTGGGGCGTCCCTTGGCGAGTCCACCTGGAACGTCGCGCGGCGCGTCCCCTGGCACATCCCGTGGCACATCCATTGGCACGTTCCGTAGCGCGTCCCCTTGGCACGTCCCGCGGTGCGTCCCCATGGCACGTCCCCTGGCACGTCGCCTGGCGCATCGCTTGGGACTTTTCGCGGCGCGTCCTCCTGGCATGTTCCCCTGTCAATTAGCTCTGGGGCAGCTACTATGTGTTCAGGCAGCTCGAGCTTAAGATCCAGATCAGTTCGGTCAGGACTCGGACGCAAAGGAGGACTCGATCCACGACGCTATAGAGCACAATCGCGGCATGGCACATCGCAATTCAGCACGGTGCAGCACAGCACAGCCCTCGGCAGGGTACATCAAGATCGATACACTCAGCATTGCCCTAGTCAGGTGCCTTTGAAAGCGCTGCCATGTGTTACGGTTCTATATTCCTTTCCGGGTTCGTGGGTCGATCATGTTTCTCATTCCGCATTTTGAAACAAATAGTCCCAGGCGGGCCTGTATCGACCCCCGCCCCAACCCTGTCATCCAATGCGCGCGCACTCGCCGATACCAAAATAAATCAAGAAACTCGTGCGCAAGATCTGCCGCATGCGTTTCCGCGCGCGGACGTCGAGATCATGTCGGAATGCTTTGTTTTCTGTGGGCGAGCGCTCTATCATCATCCTCATCATCGCAATCGTTGTCACCGCCGTCAGCGCAACCAATGCCACTGGCACAATCATCAACATCACCATCACCCTTACCATCACCATCGTCGGGACCATCACCGCCGCCGTCATCGTTGTCATCGTCGACAACGTCGCCGTTGTCGACTTCATCATGACATCGCGCCCGCCCGAGTCACCGACCGACACTGAAATGCCCGCCCGCCAGCGCGGCCTTCAAGACGCGCTGAGAAGCAAGCGCCTATGAGGCCGCATGATTCACGCCGAAGCGACTGGCCGATCTGCACGTGGGCTGGCGCGCGCCAGTGCGGCCGCAGGAGATGCGCCAGCAAACTCCAATCGGACACCACCATCGTAACCGAACGGTCTTTGCGAAACGACCTGCGGATGGATGGGTGCTATGTTTGCGCGAGCAATGGGGCTGCCAACTTCCAAGTCGGGCAAACTTTAGTTGCACCACGTGGAATGCAACACAAAAGATGTACCACATAGAACACACCGCACGCGAGCTGCACCACACTGCCTGCGCCACGTAATTAGGCTGCACGTGGGGGGTGCAGCGGCCTACCGTTCGGGGCCCAAGCTTGCTGGCAGCGCGAAGTCGGATTTAAATCAAAACTCCTGACACACTCCTTTGATGGAGAGGAGACCCGAAGAGAGACGCATATGAGCCACACAGCTGCAAAGCGGAAGTGATGTGTACACACAATATCATGATAGGCACTTCAGGCGGAGAGCGAGGCAGAGAGAGATCGGCGATATAGTTGGAGGAGAGCGAAAGAGAGAGAGAGAGAGAGAGACGTAGAAAGAGAGAGAGGGAGGGAGAGAGTGAACACAAAAAAGGGGGACCGAAGAGAAGATGGAGGGCGAAATAGAGAGAGAGAGAGAGACAGAAACGTGGATAGGAGGAGAGAGGTGCAGGCTGTGCATTGGGGGGAGAAAACACCAAGTCAGCGTGGTCCTGAAGTGAACCTCGGCGGCGCTTGAGCTACTCGCCGCCAAAACGGTGCACCGAAAGGGCGGCCGGGTGCGGTGACGGCCCCAAGTGAGTTTGCGAGGAGGAGCGCCGCGGGGGGCCGACACTGGATCTCGGAGCGCCCGCCTGGCATCCTCTACACTGCCCGCACCCTGGCTGTAGATCTGGACGCTCCACGCGCCCGGGCTGCCAAACGCTCCGGGGGGCTTAGGCGGCCGCCCCGCCGCCTGAGTGCAGCGTGCCCGTGCCACGTCACGGGGTGCACGCGTATCCTCCTGTCGGGGAGACGTAAGACTCGGGCACGGGGGACTCGGGTTGGCCCGACGGGGCCATCATAAAAATGCCGAGGCCCAACCTGAAATTTGACGCGAGCTCCCGCTGCAGACATCCCACGGAAACCGGACCGTCAAAATCCAGGACGCGCTCGTCAAAAAAAACGTCGGCAAACCCGAGTTCCGGCTTACTCGGGTCTTGCGTTCCCCCGATCCTGGCGGGCACGGCGGCGGGGAGGCCGACGAAGTGCGTGCCGGCGGCGTCGGACGCGCCGCCGAAGACGTGCGCGCCGCCGGCCTCCTGGTCCGCCCCGTACCACTGCCAGCCCCCCTCCTCCGTGAAGACCCGCAGCCTTCGGTCGGGCGTGTCCCCCTGCAGTCGGGGCGTTGACCTAAGGAACCCCAAACAAGGAACCCTAAATAAGGAACGAGGACCCTAAGGAACCCTAAATAAGGAACACCGAGCCCCTTCCCAACGAACAGGGTTCCTTCTTCAGCGCCCCGACTGTACAGGGGGATCTTGGCTGAAAAATGAAAAAGATCAGAAAAAATCTTAAGATAGTCAAGAATGGTAGACAAATTGTCCCCTGACTCTTTTTCCCGGAAAGGGCGTAGGCCCAGGGTTCTCTTTTAGGATGGTAATCTGTCCCCTGTGCCTCGACTGAGGTGGGCCGGCGGATTCTTTCCCTGATAAATATCAAGGTCGAGGTGGGCCGGCGGATTAAAATTTGAGAATGTCTCGAGCGAAACGCTTGTTGTTCAGAATTGGTTGAGGATGTCTCGAGCGAAACGCTTGTTTTGTGCTATAGATTGTCCTTTCCTGGGGACCAGGATTCAGAGGATCTCTCAAGTGAAATGCTTGTTTTCACGTGCCCAGTTTTTGAGGATGTCTCCAGCGAGACGCTTGGTTTCACGCCTCCAGGTTGCCCAGGCAGATTTCTAGCATGAGGATTTGTTGAGGATGTCTCGAACCAGAGGCTTGTTTTCACGTGTCCAGGTCGCCCATGCGGATGTCTAGCATGAGGATGTGTCGAGGAACTCTCGATCGAGACGCTTGTTTGCACGTGTCCAGGTTGCCCAAGCGGATGTCTAGCATGAGCATGTGCTAAGAACGTCTTGAGCGAAACGAGTGTTTTCACGTGTCCAGGTCGCCCAAGCACAGCACAGCCCTCGGCACGGTACATCAATATCGATCCCCTTAGCATTGCAGCCTGGCATGTTGCCTGGCACGTTCCGCGGAGCGTCCCGTGGCGAGTCCCCCTGGCACGTCGCGCGGTGCACGTCCATTGGCACGTTTCGTAGCGCGCCCCCTTGGCACGTCCCGCGGTGCGTGCCCATGGCACGTCCCCTGGCACGTCGCCTGGCGCGTCTCTTGTGACGTTCCGCGGCGCGTCCTCCTGGCATGTCCCCTTGTCGATTAGTTCTGGGGCAGCTACCATCTGCTCAGGCAACTCGAGCTTAAGATCCAGATCAGTTCGGTCAGGACTCGGATGCAAAGAGGACTCGATCCACAACGCTATCTAGAGCACAATCGCGGCATGGCACATCGCAATTCAGCACGGCGCAGCACAGCACAGCCCTCGGCACAGTACATCAAGATCGATACATTCAGCATTGCACCTTGGCATGTTCCTTGGCGCGTTCGGTGGCGAGTCCACCTGGCACGTCGCGCGGCGCGTCCCCTGGCACGTCCCGCGGCACGTCCATTGGCACGTTCCGTAGCGCGCCCCCTTGGCACGTCCCGCGGTGCGTGCCCATGGCACGTCCCCTGGCACGTCGCCTGGCGCGTCTCTTGGGACGTTCCGCAGCGCGTCCTCCTGGCATGTCCCCCTGTCGAATAGTTCTGGGGCAGCTACCATCTGCTCAGGCAGCTCGAGCTTAAGATCTAGATCAGTTCGGTCAGGACTCGGATGCCAGGGAGGACTCGATCCACAACACTGTATAGGGCACAATCGCGGCATGGCACATCACAGTTCCGCACGGCGCAGCACAGCACAGCCCTCGGCAGGGTACATCAAGATCGATACACTCAGCATTGCGTTTGCCCGTCACCCAATCAAGTGTCTTTGAAACGTTGCCATGCGTTACAGCTCCATATTCCTTTCCGGGTTCGTGGGTCGATCATGTTTTGACTACTTGTGATTCTTCCTCCCGTAGAGGGACAGGCCCGACTCGACCGCAGCCTCCACGTCTCGATCCACTGAGGCGCCAGGTCCAGCAGGCCGCCGCCAGAGCCCAGCCCGGCGCTGAGCCGCTGTGCCCGGAGGCCCAGGTAGGCCAGCACCTGTCGCGTCGGACGACAAGGGGGTCAGTGAATCAGCTCACGTAGCTGGTCATCCCGGCGCCTCCCAGCGCGGGAGGAGGCCCCCAAGAGACCCCCAAGAGGCTCCCCGAGGCACCCAGGACGCTCCAAGAGGCGCCCAGGACCGCCAAGAAAAAGAAAAGAAAAAAGAAAAAAGAAAAAGAGAAAGATAAAAAAAAAAAACCAGAAAAGAAAAGAGAACCAAGAAACAAAAAAGAGAATAGATAAAAACAAAGAAAAAAAAAAAAATACAAAAAATGACAAAAGAAAAAAAAAAAAGAAAGAATAAAAAAAAAAAAAAAGAAAAAAAAAAGTAAAAAATAAAAAAAGAGGAAATAACAAAAAAAAAAGTAAAAAAAAGAAAAACAAGATAAAAAAAAAGGGCAAAAGAAAAGGCACAAAATAAAGGTCGAAGAAAAGAGACAAAAAAAGTAAAACAGTAAGAAAAAAAAAAAAAAAGGCTCCCAAGACGCCCGAAGGCCGCCCCTGCCGTTTCGGGCCTCGTCCTCTTTCTCTTCTCCATCCTGACTCCTCCTCATCCTCCTATTCCTGTTTCTCTCGCCTCCTCCCTCCTCCACCTTGCCCCTTCCCCCTCCTCCTCCTCCTCCTCCTCCTCCTCCTCCTCCTCCTCCTCATCCTCCTCATCCTCCTCCTCCTCCTCATCCTCCTCCTCACCCTCCGGCACTTGATCCTCCTCCTCCTCCTCCTCCTCCTCGTCCTCTTCCTGCTCCTCCTCCTCCTCCTCCTCCTCCTCCTCCTCCTCCTCCTCCTACGATTCCTCCTCCTTCCCCCCCCCCTGGGTGTACGACGGTTGCTCCAGCTCGTTGTTCCTCTGTGTGCTCCTCCACCTCTCTGATCAGGGCAACTCGTCTGGGCATCGTTTCTGGATGGGCTGGTAGGGATTTGGTTTTAATCGCGACCGCGCCGAGAGCAGTCGGGCGGCGTCCAAGGGCACAACAAACTAAGCGGCGGCCTGAATTACGCGCAACGGGAGAGGGAAGGAAGACAAGAGGGAGGACAGCGGGGGGAGGAAACTGGTGGGGATAATTACGCGAATCGTCCAGAAGTCAGGCGATGGTCAAACTGAGAATCTCTGAAATCGGCGGCTCGGGAGGATGTCTCGGGCGCCGGGCCCTTCTCAAAGCGTTCCGGAACGCTCCGAGAGCGTTCCGGAACGCTCCGGAGCGGATCGATCCTCGTCACAGCCCCGTCGGGCACGGGCGGGTTTCGGCACGGTCCCGCCCGAGCCGAAGCCGCGTCCCTGACTGGACACCCTTTTCAGGCCAAGGGAGCTCGGACCAAAAACCACCGCCATGACCAGGTTCTGCAGCGGCCCTCTGGGCGGAGGCGGTGCTGCGGGGCTCCTTCTCTTCCAGCCCCCCTTCGTCCCCTTCGGGAAGGGCTTGCCCCTCCCCCTGGCCCCCCCTCCCCTGGGTCTGGAGGGGGGGCGCCGCGACCAGTCATGCCGTCCAAGATTGCTCTAGTATAGGTCTAGATAGCCCACGATGGCCTGGGAAGCGGCCCCATGTAATGGAAGATGGCTCACAACAACTTCCACGGTGCCTCCCAGAGGCTCCAAGACCCCCCTAAGACGGCCACGGAGCCTCCGAAGGATGCCCCCAAGTGGCCCAAATTCAGTCACAACGGTAGGGGGAACAAGAACAAAGGATGTTTGCATTATTGTTTGTTCGCTTCCGATGTGCTTTTGAGGCCTCAAGACGACTCCTAGAATGCCCAAGAGAACCCCGAGATGGGCTCATCGGGGCTCCAAGACGTCCCAAAGTGCGCCCAAGAACATCCCTCGGTTGGGCCCAAGAGGAGAGCGTCGGGCTCCAAAGAGGATACCTTAAGTAGGGTCACCTCTTCTTTGATCGACGGCCCCTCAAGGAGGCCCGCACTGCCCCAGAACAAGCCCCAGGAGGACTCAGGAAGCTCCCCAACTTGCCCCAAGAGGCATGTTCATCCTCCCTCCTCTACTTCCTCACTCTCCACTGTCTCCTCCGCATCATGCCCCGACACTTCCCCGATCAGGGTAACTCGCCCGGCGATCGTTTCTGGATGCGATGGTGGAGATAACTTGTTTGGTCGGCGGCTCCGAGGCAGCGGACAGGGAGCGGAAGGCGTCGTCTGGGCCAGATGGTGGAGATACTTTTTTTTAACAGCCGCAGGCGGAAGCGCCAGCGGCGGGAGGTCGTGGGCGGGCTACGGCCGCGACTAAATTGCCGAGCGCGCGCGGGGGCCGCGGATCAGGCGGCGGGGGGGGCAGCGCCCAGGGCGGCAGAGCCAGCGTGCACTCCAAGGGATGGTGGAGATACGCGAAGCGGCAACACTGCGCTTGACGCCATTAGAGCAGTCTTCTGGCAAAGACTCGCCCGAGGTCCTGCGAGCTCGAGCTGAAGCCCAGTGAAGTCGCGGGGGAGGCTTGGGGGGAGGCGGCCGCCGGAGGGGGTGGAAAAGAGGGGGCCAGCCTCTGGGGAGGTGGCCACCGCGGCACATACAGTCATCGGCCTGACCTCAGGAACGATGCATAAGGAACGAAGCCCCTTTTTTATCCCAAGGAATAACGCATAAGGAACGATACATAACACATAACGCATAAGGAACTGTAAATAACGCATGCAAGCCTAAGGAGCGACCAGCCCCTTTTGAAAAGTAAGTGTTCCTTACTCAAGCCGCTCACTGTAAGACCTGCAAGAAGTCCAGGGTCGGTGCACGTGGATACTCAGCGCACTCCCCGCGAGCCAGTCGAACCTTCTGCGTCTCCACGCATTCCGCACGACCGATGACGCAGAGGCGACGGGCAGATAGCCTTGCAGCCGACCCGTATCACAAAGATGCGCGGCAAGGATGCAAGGGCCTTGGAGGGCCCCATGTTAACGTTCTTCGAGCGAAGCTGGCCAGCGAAAGTCGCTGAGGAGGGGCCGAAGGGACGGACAATGGATGCCAGGGTACCCCTGGGAAGGCTGCCCATCCTACACATGCGGGTTGACTGCACCGATGATGCAGAGGTGGCGGGCAGATGCCCTTACCACCTAAGGAGCGTGCCACCAGTGGGCCCCCAGCGTGGGGCGCCCAGTGGGCGTTCCGGGGGCCCGACGCCCCCCTTCGCCCCCTCACTGCAGAGGATCCCTCGGGCACTGCTGGCGAAGATGCTTTGTGGGAGGCCTGGAAATGGGCACCAACGCCAAGACAGAGGGCTGCCTCCACAGGGGGGAGGTGATCCTAGGTTTCGGTGTTGGTGGTAATATTTCGGCCACCTTGGAAGCCAGAATACTACCACCATCACCGAGATCGGGATCGTCTTTCCTCGGTGGAGGCACACCGCAGATATTAGTGTTGGTGTCAACCTGTAGGCCTGCGGCTTTGGCCACGTGGGGCCTGCAGCAGGCGGTTCGTCTCTTCGCAGTTGTTGCCCTTCAGGATGTCCTGCGGGGTGACCTTCAGCTCGTCCATGCCAGCCCCGCCGAGGCCCACCTGGGCGGCGGGTTAAGATGCGGAGGCAGGATAAGCCGGGCGTGGCAT